GAGACAAATCGAAATATTAAAGTGTGTGTGTTTCTGCCTCTGTGAGATGTTTACACACACACTCAGATCTGAATACCAGACGAGGTCCACATTCTCCAGCACTGAGCCAGAGGACCTGAAGGAGAACAGCATGAGCTCGCTGCTGAGAGACACAATCAGATCTAATCATATTCTACATTAACAGCATTACAGTCAACATTCATAAAGGAAGAAAAACAGTGTGTTAGTCCAGTTCATGCATTCCCTCAGAACTCAACCCAGTTATTTAATGTGTGTTTGTGCTTTTTAACACAACATCAGGAGTATAAGGACACACTCGAGGTGTGACTGAAGTGTGTGTGGAGATGAGGAGAGCGAGTAAACGTGTTTTCTTCTCTCGACTCTTAAACATCGGCCCAGTTTCTTCACAAGGGAAATCTTCTTCTTCTTCTTCTTCTTCTTCTTCTTAAAATTGTATTGGCGTTTGATAAACAACGAAACGGTGTATTACCGCCACCGACTGGAATGGAGTGTGTGGATCACAATGACATTTTCCTTTTTTTTATATCCTCTCTCACAAATTAGTAATTTTAAGATACTGGAAAATAAAATTATAACATTCATCTCCCGAGTTATTTTGTAAAATATCTCCTAGTATAAATTGCATTTTTATTTTTGCTAGATTTTGCATTAGAATCCTTCTTTCTGTTTCTGACAGCATAACATGTTCCAGTTTCTTCTCGTCCACAAAATCCACAGCTTCCAGTCTCATGTTTCATAAAGTGCTGTTTATTAGTGTCCAAATCTCATCCTGGATTTATTTCATCCCACTTTATTTTGAATTCTATAAAACCATTGGCCTTTCTTCTCCTTTTCCCGTTGTTTTTGCCACCTTTCCTTCAACCTTTTCTTAATAATACTCTTGATTTCATTTTTACTTAGCCTAACGATTAAGTTAATGTCGTTGTTTTTTAATGGCTTCTTTTTTCTGCCATTTCATTTAGAGAAAATGTTAAAGTGGTTTCTTTACCATTTAAATAATATATAATTTTCATTTATTTAGATAAAAAAATTTGCAAAAATTGCTTTAAAGTCTTCCTGTAGTCAATCATTTTATCCCTTAAAACTCATCTTTGATCACCAAAATTACACATTTAAACGTTTTTTTTCCTAAAAAATTCTTAACACCTTAAAATACCTTGAATGTAACTCGACACCCTCGCCTCATTTAGTATGCGCGGTTCTATGAATATAGTTACAAAAAGAAAGACGATACACAGTATTTGCTGGTTTCTTCAGTCACTTCTTGGCTTGAGTGTGAGTTTGCGTGAGAGCCAATCAAACGGCTCTGTCGGCAGAGTGCCAGCCAATCAGAGCGTCCCACCTGCTCCTGGCTTAACTCCACCCCCCGGAGTCTCTCAACATCCCAAATCTCATTTTGCTTTGGAAGATTAAGAAGGATTTTCAGGTGTCAGAGTTTAGGAAACTACGATTGAAAGCTTCTGAATAAAGATGGTGCTGATGAGCAGAGAGCACAATAACTTTACAATTTAAATAATATAGAATATTTTTTTTTTTTAGATTGAATTTTTTGTGCAACAATTGTTTTAAAGTCCCCCTGTAGTCAATAATTGTATCCCTTAAAACTGTACCAAAACACCTAAAAACCTTTTTACCTTGTAAAAATGTCTTTATGCCTTAAAATATCTTGAATGTAACTCGACACCCTTGCCTCATTTAGTATGTGTGGTCTATGAATATGCAAATGAGCCCCGCCTCCACTCACTCACTCAGCTCAGAGATCCACTGGTTGACGATCACACGTTGATCTGATTGGTTACAAGGTCGTTTGTGATGTCAGAAACACAAGCGATTTCAAACCGTGTTTTTGAGACTGTCTTTGGTTGTCGGTTGTCGACTTATGAATTTACACATGGTTTGTCTTAAAAAATATTAGAAACACCACATCATTGACATATAAACAACATTAAAAGCTGGATTTTCACCACAGGGGGACTTTAAATATTGTCATTAAATTCAAGTTACAATGCAAAAACAAAACAAAAATCCCAAATTCGTACTAAAATTAAATGGAATTTGCTTATTTTCTTTTGATTTTTGGGTGAATTGCTTCCTGGACATGTTATAGCCAGCATCTGAACATCAGAATAACTCCCTCTCTGGTTTCATATGATTGTCATCTTGCATGTTCATGGATGTATTAATCTGCACTGCTATAGCGGGTTAAGAGGGAGTGTGTGCAGTCACGAGTGAAGAGTAATTGTGAGTACAACAGTGTGTTTAATCACACAGAAATTAAGCGTAATTACACGGAATAGGAGGCTAATTATGAATCATGTAATTACTGTGATTGTTCCAGACGTCAGGCTGTGAAGCTGATCTCTCTCTCTCTCTCTGTCTCAGATGGAAGATGTCATCGCTCGCATGCAGGACGAAAAGAACGGGATTCCCATCCGGACCGTCAAGAGCTTTTTGTCCAAGATCCCCAGTGTGTTTTCAGGTGATCATTCCTCCATCTTATTTATACAAAACAGCATTTCTTCTCTATATGTACATATACTATATATCAGTGCCGACTTTTTTAACCGGGTATGCTGGGTGATGCGTTATGTCAAAACTGCACCTGTGCACGTCGGATGTGTTTATAATAAGCGCGTTGGCTCTAGACAGTGTTAGCTTCTCATGTGCTTAATCTCGTGACGCATGGAAACACAGCTAAACGTTTCCTATATTTGACAATTTATTGAAAGTAGTCGACGCCTTCACAAGCACCCGTAAGAGCTGGCGAGTTGAGTTACGAGCTAAGCGCCAAAGGGGGGTTTGCAAAACGTGCCGTATTTTTGTACTTCCGCTAGTGGCAGTAATGTCGCAGAAATGACATGCGTCACATTTAAACGTTACGGCGCATCGGCAGGCTAATTAATGACTTTATAATGATATGGCAATATGGACCGTAGTGTTCTGTATTCACACCGGTGTTTTAAATGCGCATTTGAAGTGTCAGCGCTCTCCGCGAAGCCTCACGTGTTACAATAAACAACACGCGGTGCCAGTGATAGTGTGTTATCTGTCCTCTAGGGGGCGCTCTCGCTCTGTGTAACGCCAGCACACTCTTCTCAGCCGCTCCAGCAACGGACACAACCCCCAAAAAACTATCGGTGTGGATTTTTACCGATAACGATAGTTCCATCAATCAACTATCGGTACCGATATATATCGGCTCGACCTCTACTAGCCTATACGAACACGAAATCATTCCTAACAATAATTTTAAAACGGATGTAATATGAACTGTTACTGCGATATAAAGCAAGCGGCTCATGAGAAACTCTGAATCTTTGATGCTCATGAATAAATGAGACTCCTGACAGTGACGGAAAGCTTTTAATAGTCCTCAAGACTCGCGGTTAGCTTCTGTGTGCAGAGACGTGCTGAGAGATTCCCGAGGAGACGCGAGCGCTAATGAGGAAACCGTCCCACAATCCAAACACTGATCCCAGAACATCCCGAGGAGCCGCTCAGATGAGGACAAACAGAGCAGAGCCATCAAACACACACACTTCAAACACATCACACACACGGCTTTGAAGAGAGGTCACTGACGCGCCGTTAGCGTGAGCAAACACACACGGATCTGTCGGCTGCTGCTTGAAAGAGATCCGCTTTACAGAGCGCACATGTTTTGGCATTTACATGGAGCCCTGAGAGATCCTGACAGATGTTTAGAGGAGGCGTTCCCTCTGGGCATTTTGAACCATGAATACACACACACACAAACAATTTAATGGATTCGAGGAGTTTTGTCGTTGAAGTTTAAAAAAGTAATAAATGCGTTCCCTCGCGGGTCAATTTGAGCCCATTAGGAATGACTAGAATGCAAGAAAATGCTCAAAATTTAAACTAAAAATGCTACAACTTTACCAAAAAATGATATTATAATGTCTACATGTGTGTCTGAATGCATAGTGAATTGAACTGGCTTTAGGACCCAGCGGAACAGCTCATGCTACATATAGAGCTATATATAGATATTACCAGCCCGCCGCTCTTCTTCATCACCAGCTCCTGAAACACTGAAACACAAAAGTGCTCGAGTCGTTTCTCCATCACGAACCTGAGTTCTTGTTTCGGGAGAGTCGTGATCAGTTCATCAGATCAGTTCATCAGATCAGATCATCAGATCATCAGTTCGTCAGTTCATCAGATCATCAGTTCATCAGATCATCAGTTCATCAGTTCATCAGATCATCAGTTCATCAGATCATCAGTTCATCAGATCATCAGATCATCAGTTCATCAGATCACCAGTTCATCAGATCATCAGTTCATCAGATCATCAGTTCATCAGTTCATCAGATCATCAGTTCATCAGATCAGTTCACCAGTTCACCAGTTCATCAGTTCATCAGTTCATCAGATCATCAGATCACCAGTTCATCAGATCATCAGTTCATCAGTTCATCAGTTCATCAGTTCATCAGATCATCAGTTCATCAGATCATCAGTTCATCAGTTCATCAGATCATCAGTTCATCAGATCATCAGTTCATCAGATCATCAGATCATCAGTTCATCAGATCATCAGATCATCAGTTCATCAGATCATCAGATCATCAGTTCATCAGTTCATCAGATCATCAGTTCATCAGATCATCAGTTCATCAGTTCATCAGATCATCAGATCATCAGTTCATCAGATCATCAGATCATCAGTTCATCAGATCAGTTCACCAGTTCACCAGCTCATCAGTTCATCAGTTCATCAGATCATCAGATCATCAGTTCATCAGATCATCAGTTCATCAGATCATCAGTTCATCAGATCATCAGTTCATCAGATCATCAGTTCATCAGTTCATCAGATCACCAGTTCATCAGATCATCAGTTCATCAGTTCATCAGATCATCAGATCATCAGTTCATCAGATCATCAGTTCATCAGATCATCAGTTCATCAGATCATCAGTTCATCAGATCATCAGATCATCAGTTCATCAGTTCATCAGTTCATCAGATCATCAGATCATCAGTTCATCAGATCATCAGATCATCAGTTCATCAGATCAGTTCATCAGATCATCAGTTCATCAGATCATCAGTTCATCAGATCATCAGTTCATCAGTTCATCAGATCATCAGTTCATCAGTTCATCAGTTCATCAGATCATCAGATCATCAGTTCATCAGATCATCAGTTCATCAGATCATCAGTTCATCAGATCATCAGTTCATCAGATCATCAGATCATCAGTTCATCAGATCATCAGTTCATCAGATCATCAGATCATCAGTTCATCAGATCAGTTCATCAGATCATCAGTTCATCAGATCATCAGTTCATCAGATCATCAGTTCATCAGTTCATCAAATCATCAGTTTACAGATCATCAGTTCATCAGTTCATCAGATCATCAGTTCATCAGATCATCAGTTCATCAGATCATCAGTTCATCAGATCATCAGATCATCAGTTCATCAGTTCATCAGATCATCAGTTCATCAGATCATCAGATCATCAGTTCACCAGTTCATCAGATCATCAGTTTACAGATCATCAGTTCATCAGTTCATCAGATCATCAGTTTACAGATCATCAGTTCATCAGTTCATCAGATCATCAGTTCATCAGATCATCAGTTCATCAGATCATCAGTTCATCAGATCATCAGATCATCAGTTCATCAGATCATCAGTTCATCAGATCATCAGTTCATCAGTTCATCAGATCATCAGTTCATCAGTTCATCAGATCATCAGATCATCAGTTCATCAGTTCATCAGTTCATCAGATCATCAGTTCATCAGATCATCAGATCATCAGTTCATCAGTTCATCAGATCATCAGTTCATCAGATCATCAGATCATCAGTTCATCAGATCATCAGTTCATCAGATCATCAGTTCATCAGTTCATCAGATCATCAGATCATCAGATCATCAGTTCATCAGATCATCAGTTCATCAGTTCATCAGATCATCAGATCATCAGTTCATCAGATCATCAGTTCATCAGATCATCAGATCATCAGATCATCAGTTCATCAGATCATCAGTTCATCAGTTCATCAGTTCATCAGATCATCAGTTCATCAGATCATCAGATCATCAGTTCATCAGTTCATCAGATCATCAGTTCATCAGATCATCAGATCATCAGTTCATCAGATCATCAGATCATCAGTTCATCAGATCATCAGTTCATCAGATCATCAGATCATCAGTTCACCAGTTCACCAGTTCATCAGATCATCAGATCATCAGATCATCAGATCACCAGTTCATCAGATCATCAGTTCATCAGATCATCAGTTCATCAGTTCATCAGATCATCAGTTCATCAGTTCATCAGATCATCAGTTCATCAGATCATCAGTTCATCAGTTCACCAGTTCACCAGCTCATCAGTTCATCAGTTCATCAGATCATCAGATCATCAGTTCATCAGTTCATCAGTTCATCAGATCATCAGTTCATCAGATCATCAGTTCATCAGTTCATCAGATCATCAGATCATCAGTTCATCAGTTCATCAGATCATCAGATCATCAGTTCATCAGTTCACCAGTTCACCAGCTCATCAGTTCATCAGATCATCAGATCATCAGTTCATCAGTTCATCAGTTCATCAGTTCATCAGATCATCAGTTCATCAGATCATCAGTTCATCAGATCATCAGATCATCAGTTCATCAGATCATCAGATCATCAGATCATCAGTTCATCAGATCATCAGTTCATCAGTTCATCAGATCATCAGTTCATCAGTTCATCAGATCATCAGATCATCAGATCATCAGATCATCAGTTCATCAGTTCATCAGATCATCAGATCATCAGTTCATCAGATCATCAGATCATCAGTTCACCAGTTCATCAGATCATCAGTTCATCAGATCATCAGATCATCAGATCATCAGTTCATCAGATCATCAGATCATCAGTTCACCAGTTCACCAGTTCATCAGATCATCAGATCATCAGATCATCAGATCATCAGATCACCAGTTCATCAGATCATCAGTTCATCAGATCATCAGTTCATCAGATCATCAGTTCATCAGTTCATCAGATCATCAGTTCATCAGTTCATCAGATCATCAGTTCATCAGATCATCAGTTCATCAGTTCACCAGTTCACCAGCTCATCAGTTCATCAGTTCATCAGATCATCAGTTCATCAGATCATCAGATCATCAGTTCACCAGTTCATCAGTTCACCAGTTCACCAGTTCATCAGATCATCAGATCATCAGATCATCAGATCACCAGTTCATCAGATCATCAGTTCATCAGATCATCAGTTACACAGATCATCAGTTCATCAGTTCATCAGATCATCAGATCATCAGTTCATCAGTTCATCAGATCATCAGTTCATCAGATCATCAGTTCATCAGTTCACCAGTTCAACAGCGCATCAGTTCATCCGTTCATCAGATCGTCAGATCATCAGTTCAACAGTTCACCAGTTCATCAGATCGTCAGATCATCAGTTCAACA